ACGTTCTCTGAGCAAGCCAAGAACGGAGGAGGCGGACGACGACGACGACGACGACGACGATGAGGACGAGGACGCGGACGAGGAAGAGGAGAGGAGGAGGAGGAGGAGCAGGAGGAGGAGGAGGAGGAGGAGGAGGAGGGCCCATCGACAGGGAAGGTGAGGGCCACGAGGTCCGCCGGCTCGACGCCCGCGTCGCCCGCGCCCGCCCCCTCACTCTTATCCGCAATTGCGGGGTGCTACGATATTAAAATCTTCGCTGTTTCTGAGATTATGTTCCCCAGCATCGAGGGGGTCAAACGCATCTCTGACCTCGCGGAGGAGTTGTATCTGAAAACACCCCCGCGCTCACCCCGTGCCGGCACATGCCTCGGGAGTGCGGGTCAAAGTGCACTAACAGACCCATACGGTCTCAGCGATCTCTGTCGGGGACCTTGCGCAGACCTATCTCTGAATGGCCCAAGGGCGCGCTCGCGTGGGGCGAGTTCGGGCACCGGCTATGCCGGCCGAGGTGGCCCGAATCGGCCTGAACGGCCATCAAATGAACAATTGCAGGGCTGGACCTAAACGGTGTTGTTCGTTTTCGTTTTGTTTTCGTTGTCCCTCGCTTTGTCACGAGATGTGTCTGTTGAAGCCGTACTAGCTTCGATCCGCAAAAATTAAGGTCCGCATGGAGTTGAGCTTTATTTGGGACCCTCTATGCTCCCAGATCGTTTCCACATAATGCTTTCCCCGACCCGCTGCTGTTTTGTATGGAGCCGGCTTGAGGCTAAATTATTTGTTTTCGGTGGCGAGCGACCAGAAAAGATCCCCTCCCCGGTGATACAGTCAACCGGCATAGTAAGGTTGGTCAATTGTCCCATTGGTACACTGACATCCGTGCCCCTTCGGCCAACCCTTAGCGACTTTCGCTGGCCAACATCGTTCGAAAATCTTCAACTTGGCCCTCCAAGGCCCTTGCACCATGAACTACCGCGCATCCTTATGATACGGGTTGAATGTAGTGGCTTCCACCACTCTGCCGCTGCGTGGACCAGGGGGTAGGAAAGCGACCCCGGTTCCGCATCCTGGAAACCCCAAGAAGCTTACAAGATAGCCTCCAGACGGCCCAACAGGACTCCGCGATGGCCCCAAGACGAACTCAATACCACCGAAGGTGGCCCGAAGCGGTTCCCTGGGAGGTCTCCAGCCTCCAAGACGGTCCAGGTGCGCCCTCAGATGTCCCGAGAGGGCTTGCAAGACAGCCGCAGTGCTCCCCAAGATGTCCACATCGCCCTCAGATGGGCCCAACGTGGACCAGGAACTGCCCGAGACAGCCCACGGGCACCAGAAAACAAACCCGAGAGGCCCCCAACAGGCAAGCCACGTTGGTTCTCCCCTGATGTTTGTATGATTGCATGGCCACCGTTCCCGATATCGGAGTGTCCCAGACGTCTCCAGGTGACTCAAACATTGTTCGTAGATGGCATCCAGCGTCCCAACAGGCCTCAGGAGGCCTCCAAGAGGATCCCAATACGCATCCCGAAACAATGTAAGCGTTATGGTTGTCTGGCTCAAGCAATCGAGCTAGTCGAGCAACCGTTCCTCACGTTCTCGTTTTGTACTGCAGGATGACAGTACTGAGCGTGCCGAGCCTGTTGCGCTTGCTGGCACTTGTCTACGCCGTGCCCGCGCGATGTCTGTCAGTGCAATCGGCCCTTGTCACGGTCGATTGCACTGGGCGCAACTACAGGTTGCATATTGCCAGTCGCAGGGCTTGCCTATCGCCAGCATCCACAACGATCCGAACACCAACGCGATATTGTGTGTGTGCGCGTTCTTTGTGTGCTATGTGCGTTGTAGGTGTTGTGCGTGTGAGTGTGTGAGAGTGTTAGTGTGTGAGTGTGAGTGTGCGAGAGTGTTAGTGTGTGAATGTGTGAATGCGTGAATGCGTGAATATGCACTTGTGTGCATATAAGCATGTGTGTATGTGTGAATGCGTGAATGCGTGAATGCGTGAATGTGTGAATGCGTGAGTGTGTGAGCGTGCGAGTGTGTGAGTGTCTGAATGTTTGAATGTGTGCATGTTTGCATGTGGGCGTGTAGTACTGCGTGAATGTGTGAATGCTTGAATGCGTGAATGTGTGAATGCTTGAATTTGTGAATGTGGGAATTTGTGCCTGTGTGACTGTGTGGAAGTGTGAATGCGTGAATGCGTGAACGTCTGAGTGTTTGAGTGTGTGAGTGTGTGAGTCTGTCAATGTGTGAATGTGTACATTTTGGGACGGTGGGAATGTGTGAATGCGTGAACGCGTGAATGTGTGAATGTGGGAATGTGTGAATGGGTGAATGTGTGAATGCGTGAATGTGTAAATGCGTGATTGTGTGAATAATTAAATGTGTGGATGTATGAGTGTGTGAGTGTGTGAGCGCGTGAATGTGTGAATCTGAGAATGTGTGAATTTGGGAATGTGTGGGTGTGTGGGTGTGTGAATGCGTGAACGTGTGAATGTGTGAATGTTTG